ATGTTAAAATGCCCCTTCCCCCTCTCCCCCCCAGATCACACATTTACACAACACACACACTGCATACACTAACACACACACACACACACACACACTGCATACACTAACACACACACACACACACACTGCATACACTAACACAACACACACTACACACACTAACACAACACACACACACTGCATACACTAACACAACACACACTACACACACTAACACAACACACACTGCATACACTAACACAACACACACTACACACACTAACACAACACACACACACACTGCATACACTAACACAACACACACTGCATACACTAACACAACACACACTCTGCATACACTAATACAACACACACTCTGCATCCGCTACACTAACACACACTCTGCATCCGCTACACACTAACACACACTCTGCATTCACTACACATTAACACTGCATTCACTACACCAACACACACTCTGCATCCGCTACACACTAACACACTCACTGCATTCACTACACATTAACACACACTCTGCATTCACTACAAATTTACACACACTCTGCATTCACTACAATAACACATACACTACATTCATTACACTGACACACTCTGCATTCACTACACACTAACACACACTCTGCATTCATTACACACTAACTCACACTCTGCATTCACTAAACTATGCACACACTCTGGATTCACTATACTGACACAAACTCTGCATTCACTACACTAACATACACTCTGCATTAACTGTACACACATCATCCACTACACAAACATCCTGTATTCACAGTACACACACTACATCCACCACAAATTGAAACACTCTGCATTCACTATACACAGACACTGCGTCTAATACACACACTACAGACACTGCATCCACTAAACACATTTCATCTAGTACATACAAACACTACATTCACTACACAAACACACACTACATCACTGTACACACACTACATCACTGTACACACACTACATCCACTACTCAAATACACTCTGCGTTCACTATACACACTGCATCCGCTACACAAGCACACACTGCATTCACTGCACAAACAGTATCTAATACACACAAACACTACATCCATTACACACATTCTAATTCACTTCCACTATACACACCACATTCAGTCCTGCATCATTGTGAGCGGACTAGGTAGGGCGTGGGCGGTCCCGGGAGGGAGGGAGTGGGGGGGAGCCCAGACCTTGTGCTTTGTCATGGGCCCCAAAATTTCTGATGGCGGCCCTGTTTGCAGCTATATATAAAACTATTGCCATGCCCATTCAGAGACTTCAAAGCATAAATTTATGGAAATTCCAAGCATATAAAACCCACCTTCCTAACCAGGCTAAACCACAGGGATCTAATAACGAAAAGCAAAGGATAAAAGGGATCGAGGTCCATTGGGAACTGGCAGTCCATCCTATGGGTAATGAAGCACAGAAGGTATGTTTGCAGGTAGCTTAGAGAAGATAAAGGCAACTCCTACCTGTACATGCAGTAGGCATAAGGCTCAGTCAAGCCACTCAGTTGTTGATCAGGGCTCAAATCAGATTGGGAGTATTGCTATGAGTTTCATCTTCAATAGCCCCGGCATTAATCTGACGCAGCTAAGAGGTTCGCCTTCATGTTGATGAGCGAGCTTACATTTAAAATCTTCTAGAATTTAATGTGGACATTGAAGTTTTGGAAAGTGTTTTTTTTCTGATTTGACTCGTTCATTCACATTAAAAATTCTACTGTGACATATCCTTCCTGCCGCTTCTGTCTCAATTTTACACTCCACCAATCCTGGTTGAGAGAAAGTCATAATAATAACATAATGATAATACTGGCTGAATAAAACATTTCACTCTGATTTTAAATCTTTGTGACCAGTTTTACAACCAATAAAATACCCAAAAGAGAGAGAAAAGGTAGCTTCACGGAGTTCCATTTCAATAAAATAAGAACCTGTAACTTCTCTGGAAATTACACCAGACAAAAAACATTAAAAATGACCTATAACTTGTGTTAACTTTTTATGTATTCCATTTTCTATTAAATGCACAATAAAGATTTATCAATCCAGCTCAGTCCTGGCGTATTGCATTGTTTGTTTCTGTTTCTCTTCCACTCTCTGTGCTCTCTCTAAGCTGACTGGCAGGTGCAAAGGATAGAGATTATAGTGGTGATAGCTGACAGAAAGACAAAATGGCTAACATTTTCAGGGTAAAGTTAAAAACATGTCAATTAAGTGGTTATGGTGCCAGGAGGCCCTTGGGCGCACACTTACCTCAAGGGGTTAACCCCAAAGTGAGCCTCCGGCGCTGATCTCAACTGCCGTCGAGCAGGGCGGTCGCCGAATACCTGAGAGGGGTCAGCTGATGCCCAAAGCCAATCAGGGATTCCCACAAAACTGTCTGGAAAAGAAATGTACTTTTTTTCAAATCAGTTTTGTGAATGGGGAGACACTGATTGGCTGAGACTACTCGGCATTCTGTGCTTCCTGAAACTGAAATTTCACATGACTTCATGATTGGCTATAAGAGCTGGGAAGCAACAGTCTAGACTCTCATATCCACAGGGCTTGGAGGTCTGGCTTGAAGTCACACTTCCAAGCCTTTCAGTTATTAAAATATAACAATCTGGAGGCTAGGATAAGGAGGGAACAACTGTAGGCACTATAACAGCTGCAATTAGATGAAGGTCTTGTAGTGAGTACAATGTTCCTTTCGAATCCTGGGAAATAATGCCTATAAAAAATACATAATTCAGGGTTGCATATATCGTTTACATGCACATTTTCCATAAGTGTCCTTAAGGAAACTCATGATCTGGTTACTGTATGCAGAAATCCTTAGCACAGCAAGTTCAACGACTGATACATTAATATTTAGTACTATTAAACCTTGCCTTACTTACAAACTGCCAAACTGTTTTAAACAGTGGTTCTTGACATAGATGTTTTGTGTCTTTGTATGGAATTATTATGATTAATGTAACGTTTCAGAATCATTGGGTCTAACTTCAACCGAAAAAGGGTTGAGAAGGTATAAGTCTTAGAAAATCTAAAAGTTAATCAATTCTGTGTGCCGTAATCTGGCTAGAAGATGAGCTTCTTTTAGTTTACTAGAAGACAGTTTTAATCTACACAGTCAGGCCCCAGGAATCTGCCGTGATATATATTCTCAGTGGACCTGTTTTCCTTCCACGATATGATAGAAGACAGACATACAAGAAGGAGTTTTGTAGACGACTCCATAGAGATCTTAAAATAAACTTTCTTGCTATGAGCATCCCCAGTATGTGTACCATATATTACTAGTGGCCCCATCTCTGTCCAGTATTGTTAATATTTAGATTTCTGGGTGAATTTTAAACAGAGATGGAATCAACAACGGTAAGAGGAAAAGAAAAATATACACTCGCACCCTGAATGAAGAGTTAAAAAGACTGGGAAGAGTAATGAGAGGAATCGGCTTGGTGAGGTCAGTGCGTAGGGAGTAACAAACAGGTGATCACTTGATCACCTACAATGGCGAGTGCTAGCAAGCTCAGCAAAATGTAATAAAGCTTGCTTCTCTCCAGTTATATTGTCTTTTCTGCTAGCAACAATCTCTGTGGTTCTGATTATTTTTCATTGACTGCTTTCCAGTTTCAAAATGGCTAGGATCAATTAGCCAAAAAAATTCTGCATGAGAAACACAAAATATTAAGTTCTTGAATGAATGTCCTATCCAATTAAAGGACACCCCAGCACCATATCCACTATAGCAAGCTGAAGTGGTTAGGGTGCCAGGAGTGTCATGCTCCGTCACCCCCATTGTGATTAGTCATGTTCACAAAGAATAACATGTTTTAGGGATTTATTATACCTTATATCTTAACGGGGTCTGGATGGAAGGCATACCCACATAAATACATTTTGTGACATTCAATAAGGGCAACTCAAATAGAGAAATAGAAATGCTCTAATTTTTTTGTTAATAGTTTATTTTACAGAATACAGAATAGCTATATATAATTACACATTGTTATTGTCAGAACAGGATATCTTTTAAAAGGAGAATGTGCAATTAAAAAGTAAAAGTCATGGGGGGCAGAGCTAGCGGAGGAGCAGAGCGGACGCGTTCCCCAGGAGCTCCGTACCAGAAACAGCATAAACCTGCTTTTCTGGGCTAACAGGCGAAATTACCCGGGCACTTCAATCCTCACCCGACACCGGAAAAAAAATGGGTCGGAAACACAAAAAAACAAAAGCCGACAAGGACCCTAACACCCACGATATCGGGGAACTTCTCCGGCGATCGCAAAAGACCGCATGGGACAAAATGGCGGCAGGTGAGGAAGATTATTCCTATTCCTCAGATGACTTCTCCATAGACCCCGGGGAAGGCGCAACTTGTGTCCAACTACTTACCTCAAAGCCCCAGCGCACCACTACAGAAGAGCCAGTCACTGCCTCTGTACTTAAAAGCATGCTGGCAGAACTCAGAACAAATATAGCGGCCGACATGGCCTGCATTAAAGTGGCAATAGAGGGGGTCACCACCAGGGTCACACAACTGGAAACCACATCAAACACCCAGAGATCCAGGATAAAGACCCTGGAACAAGCACTAACAGAAATAAAACAGCAGCAACAGGCATCCAACAACCGAATAAATACATTAGAAGACCAGCGAAGACGTCACAATGTAAAGATCTGCGGTATCCCGGACTCTATAAACCCCACAGACCTACCGCACTTTATCAGATGCCTGCTAGCGGACCTACTACCACCTAAACAGGCAAAAGCAGTACGACTAGATGGCATGTTCCGCCTACCAAAGCCTGCAACTGCGCCGACCACGGCACACACCGACCTAATACTCCGCTTTCAGACCTTGCAGGACAGAACCCTACTAATGGGGCTGCACGCGGGGGAACACCACTCTCATTTGAGGGAGCCACGCTGTCCATATTCCCGGACCTGACCAAAAGCAGTATGGGGTGGCGCAAGGCCATGCAACCCATGCTACAACACCTCAGAAATAAGAATATCCAGTACAAATGGGGGTCTCCAAATATGATTACCTTTACCCATCAAGACACAATGTACCGAGCCAGGAGCTACCCTGAACTGGACTCACACCTACGCAATGCAGGTCTGCTGCCGCCCACTCACACAGAGGGGTCAGACCTCACCCAAGTGGACCCAACTACCGTGGCCGAATTCATCCCAGGAGCTCCCACTCGTCCAACCCACCAACGAAAGACCCCCTGAGGGACTACAACGAAAAGAACAAAAAAAAAAAGATACCGCCACAACCCTCAGAGACTGCTAATACAGCAAATCTCCAGGATGTGACATCCAAACCAAGATGGATCCGCTCTACTCCCTTATGGACTCCACTGTTGATACCCTCTAAGCTCCACACCAATCTATCCTTTGGTTTACCCAAGTTGACTTTTATTTTAATACTTTTTCTTTTTTTATATTGTGTCACACCACATCTGTATAGACCTCATCGACTTAGCCTCCATACACCATCACACCGGTTAGAAATATTCCCGACGCTGAGGCACATAACCACTCACGGACGGATTTACCACAGGCCAGAGACCCATCAACGTTCCCACCCCCCCCCAGCCCGAATCATATAAACACAAACAGACGTACTCACACAAAGGGTTGGGGGTAGTCCCCAATAGGGGATGCGTACCAGCCAGAGGCAACCCACATCAGTGGTAACAATTCTCCCTCCCATACTGGGGACTCGATAAACAGACAAATAGAGAGACGCAACAGACCTCATACCACACACCCAAAACCTCGCCTTGTAGGTCACAACCCTAGAACACACACAACACTACACATGCCTGATCTGCACTCCAGGACAACACACTCACTGGCTCCCCCTGGACCAGTCATGCCCGGCTTGATAGCTGACACTACGACTATAAAATAATTCAAATGTGCAATGTTGACTAATGCCAACCTACTGATGAAAACTGTTACTAAATATGCCTATGTTTGCTGTTGTGGCACTGTGGGCACTTGTGTTAACTCTGCACAATAAAATAATTATAAAAAAAAAAAAAGTAAAAGTCATTAATCTAATCCACCAAAACACAGAGTTATTTATTAAAGAGAGAACTGTCAGGATTCAAAGTCAATATCAAATTCAAGGCCAAACATTCTCCAATTCACCTATGCTTCTGGTTTGGATACGTTGGCCTTAAATTCAAAACTCACTTTGAATTACCAATGATTCTCACTTTAGTAAATATCCTGCTAGATGTAACAATACAATTATTCACCCAAATAACATTTTAAATATACCATATAATAAGAGATAATGATGATGTACTAGCTTGAATACAGGCACACTTAAAGCTTGGCCTTTAGAAACTACTTCACACTGCGGGAAGTAGGAGAGTGAGATGGGGAGTATCATTTACAGTTCCTCTGCAGACAGGTAGAGGGACAAAATGAAACTCTGGCAGAGACAGTTTGTGTTTCTCTGCAAGGTGAAGAATCAGAATCAGCAGGTGTCTGTAGCTTTATGAGCAACATTTTTGTTACATAGTTACATAGCCTGAAAAGAGACATGCGTCCATCAAGTTCAGCTTTTCTCACATTTGGTTTTTCGGTTGAACAAAAAGAAGGCAGTCTGAAGCGCTTCCAATTTTGCAACAAACTAGGAATAAATTACTTCTTGACCCAAGAATGGCGGGGGTCAAGAAGCACTGATTTGCAATATGAACAAAAAATTAAATATATACATTTCAAGTAGAGATTGTAGCTGTATTAGTCCAGTGATGTAGATGTAAAGCATTCTGTCCAATAAAAAAGTATTACAAGATACAATTTTTATCTGGTTTTTATATATATATACACACACACACACACACACACACTTCTTTACTTTCTTCCAATCTTAAAATAGAAGCTTCACAATAGTCAAACTACAACATGAGACGGATGACACTCATTTTTTTGAAGCCTAAAGATGCTTTACAAATATTACCTTTTGTGTTGTACTTTCCTCCTGTAATACAGCAGATATTGATCTACCTTCCTAAAGTCATCTGAATTTAATTTATTTTAATTAGTTCTTAGCATTGGTAAACGACAGCGGGAAAATTAAAGAATAATAATTATTTCTCCCTTTGCCAGCCTCGCACACGGTTTCAGCAGCAATAATGTTTAATTAAAACCAATGGTTTGTTGAAATGACGAGATCTAAGAATTATCATTTCAAAATGAACAGCATTTTTCAAACACTAAAAAATTCCAAGTGCTTAGGTTTTTGCAAAAATCTGTCAGGGAATCTGCACTTGTTTTTGCATGATAAAGTTTAAAAGAGCAGTTGGAAAAAGAAATATATTATATTTCATGTACAAAAATAGTTTTGTTTTGTTAGTTTGTTGTTTTTTTTCTCAGATTGAAAGCATTTCCTAAACTAGTTTGCTTTACAAAATCTGTAATCATACAGAAACATCACATCACATAAAATACATTGGGTTACCTAGGGTATCACAGAACGATCTGCATGGCCTTTTAGGTACAATAGGTTACCTACATGGTGACTTAAACTAATGGAGGCAGAGACAGATTATCCGTTAGGCAACCAAAGCGACTGTCTAGGACACGTTAGGCCCCTGTTTGGTCCTGGATCTACGGCTCTGAGCAGGCCTTCCCCAAGAGGCAGGAAGATCAAAATATCTGAACTCCCTCACTTCACAAATATCAGATACGGACCACTTTAAGGGCGCCCTTGCGGTTCCCCCAGAACTTCTTGATGACTCAGGGAGCCAGAACCGCTGGGGCCCTCTTCAAGTGATCTCCACCCGATATTGACCCAGCTCACACACCACTCGAAGGTAAGGGGAAGGAGAACATACAAAAAACAAAACACACACAATTCAGCCACCACACATACAACATACAACAGTGCCACACCACACACCCATCACTCACAGAAACAGAGGCAAGAACTCTAGGAGAAGGCCCCAATATGGCTATCTGCCTAGGGCATTCGGCAACCTTAATCCAGCTCTGAATGGAGGAAAGATAACCTTATCACACTGGCTCTGGAGCAATACTATTAACTTTAAAAAAAAAACAGCAGGTATTGGTAAGATTAGATCATGAAGCAATTACTATCAGAAGTGAATAGATTTAGGTTTGCGATAGATCAGTTCTCGTAGGTGAACGTGGTGAGCTACAGGATAACTTAAAAAGATAGTGTGAATGGGCAACAATTTACTAGTGTGACCTTCAGTTATACCCAGTTCAGGTCTCAAAACAAGTTTTAGCTCACTTGTGCCATTATACAGGGGTCAAGTCCTGGGGAAAAAAGTGTGGGAACTCACCCAAGATTCCGCCCCATAAAAAAATTACACTCCTATGCATATAGTGCAGTGCAGGGTGTGTATAATGAATGTAGTGTGTTTGTAGTGAGTGCAGAGTATGAATAATAATTGTAGTGTATTTGTAGTGAGTGCAGAGTGTGTATAATGAATGCAGTGTGTTTTTAGTGAGTGCAGAGTGTGTATAATGAATGTAGTGTATTTGTAGTGAATGCAGTGTGTATAATAAATGTAGTGTATTTGTAGTGAGTGCAGTGTGTATAATAAATGTAGTGTGTTTGTAGTGAGTGCAGTGTGTATAGTGAATGTAGTGTGTAGTGAGTGCAGAGTGTGTATAATGAATGTGTTGTTTGTAGTAAGTGCAAATTGTGTATAATGAATTTAGTGTGTTTGTAGTGAGTGCAGAGTGTATACAATGAATGCAGTGTATGTAGTGTGTTTGTAGTGAATGCAGAGTGTGTATAGTGAATGTAGTGTGTAGTGAGTGCAGAATGTGTATAATGAATGCAGAGTGTATAGTGAATGCAGAGGGTGTATAGTGAATGTAGTGTGTTTGTAGTGAGTGTATAGTGAATGTAGAGTGTTTGTAGTGAGTGAAGAGTGTGTATAATGAATGCAGTGTGTGCGTGCGCTGGATGATGTGTGTGAGTGCAGGATGATGTGTGTGTGTGAGTGCAGGATGATGTGTGTGTGTGAGTGCAGGATGATGTGTGTGTGTGTGTGAGTGCTGGATGATGGGTGTGTGTGAGTGTGAGTGCTGGATGGTGTGTGTGGAGTGCTGGATGGTGTGTGTGTGTGTGTGTGTGTGTGTGGGTGCTGGATGGTGTGTTGGTGTGGGTGCTGGATGGGTGTGTGAGTGCTGGATGATGTGTGTGTGAGTGCTGGATGATGTGTGTGTGCTGGATGATGGGTGTGTGTGTGCTGGATGATGTGTGTGTGCTGGATGATGGGTGTGTGTGTGCTGGATGATGTGTGAGTGAGTGCTGGATGATGTGTGCTGGATGATGGGTGTGTGTGTGCTGGATGATGGGTGTGTGAGTGCTGGATGATGGGTGTGTGTGTGTGCTGGATGATGGGTGTGTGTGTGCTGGATGATGGGTGTGTGAGTGCATGATGGGTGTGTGTGTGCTGGATGATGGGTGTGTGAGTGCTGGATGATGGGTGTGTGAGTGCTGGATGATGGGTGTGTGTGTGTGTGCTGGATGATGGATGTGTTAGTGTTGGATGATGGGTGTGTGTGTACTGGATGATGGGTGTGTGAGTGTGTGTGTGTGTGTGTGTGTGTGCTGGATGATGTGTGTGAGTGCTGGATGATGGGTGTGTGAGTGATGGATGATTTGTGTGTGTGTGTGTGCTGGATGATGGGTGTGTGGGTGCTGGATGATGGGTGTGTGGAGTGCTGGATGATGGGTGTGTGTGTGTGGATGATGGGTGTGTGTGTGCTGGATGATGGGTGTGTGAGTGCTGGATGATGGGTGTGTGTGTGCTGGATGATGGGTGTGTGAGTGCTGGATGATGGGTGTGTGTGTGCTGGATGATGGGTGTGTGAGTGCTGGATGATGGGTGTGTGTGTGCTGGATGATGGGTGTGTGAGTGCTGGATGATGGGTGTGTGAGTGCTGGATGATGGGTGTGTGTGTGCTGGATGATGGGTGTGTGAGTGCTGGATGATGGGTGTGTGTGTGCTGGATGATGGGTGTGTGTGTGCTGGATGATGATGGGATGTGGGGGGGGGAGCATTTTTTTTTTAACTTTATGTGTATGTATATTTTTTATTTTATTCCCCCCTCCCTGCTTCTTACCTTGTCAGGGAGGGGGGAGATCGCCTGGTGGTCCGGTGGAGGGAGCCAGCCGCTGCACAGAGGGGCCATCACACGCTGTGTTCCTTCTCCAGCTCTAACTCTCGCGAGACTCGCCTGTGCGGAGCGTTGCCATGGTAACAGCCGCGAGTCTCGCGAGAGTTAGAGCTGGAGAGGGAAGACAGCGTGTGCTGGCCACTCAGTGCAGGTAGCAGGGCCGGTCCTGCAGGACAGG